TATGATGTCACACGTTGTTACATAGTTTTTTGGTCCGAATGTTATCTATATACATGTGTTTTGGAAAGTACATATAAGTATCAATTCTCAGACATAGAGTTTTGGAAAGTACATACAAGTATCAATTCTCAGACATGGAAACTAATTATTAATCACTTTTTTGTGTGTTTCTTCTTGTTTGAGACAAGGTCTCAGGAGGCCTAGATTGGCCTCAAAATCCCTAATCTTTCTACCTCAGACTGAAGTGTTGGGATTACAAGCATGAATCATCCCCCCTGACCTAATCACCTACTAAATTGATTTCAATATACATATGTTAAATTACACCATGTAACCAAATGAGGCTAGACATACCCAATCACACCACTTTCACAAAGTGAAAACAGAAGGTAGGGCTCAGTCCCACTTTACAGAAAACTACAATGGCCTAGAAAAGATCACTGCTGTTATTAAAGCATGATATTGTGAGCTTGTTTCATACCAAGAAAATAGATACATCTGTCAATATGACAAACTAAAAATGTATAATAATCTACAACATTTTTATATCATTAAAAAAAATTTGTTGTGTGTGCTCATGAATGCACCTGTGCTATGGCACATGTGTGGCTGTCAGAGGACATCTTTTTGGGAACCAGTCTTCTCGTTCCATTTCGTTTTTGAAGCAGGGTTTCTGCCAGTGAGTGCTGCATATATGAGCTTCCATCTGCCATAGGAGTGCCTGGGGCTCAGATCACAGACTCAGGTTTTTTAAGTGAACACCAGGGATCAAACTCAGGTTTTTAGGGTTGCATGGCAATTGCTTTTACTCACTGAGCCACCTCACTGGTCCATTAAGTTATTTTTCAATATGTAAAACCATGCATAATTGCTATTTTCAGACTTCTGGTGATCAAGCAAATGGTAGATACACACCAAGGGGGTACAAAAGTTAAGGCTGTGATCAAGGTAATTCTGTAGCACTTAACTCAATCTTAAACCTTTTCTACTAGCTAAAAGAGGCAGGCCTCATTCCAATGAGTAGCACTACAGATATGTGAAATTGGAAAGGATGAACTATATCCTAGATAGCAGACATCATTTTTAGACTCACTAGTGTACATGACCTAGATGGGAACCCAAATAGCTAAGCTTCCATAGGAAAGGACTACAAGAAAATGTTTTGACTTGCTGAGTATTCATCGCTACATTCAATGGTATAGGAGACACTGTAACAAGGAATTATGTCACCTGTCTTGTTGGCTATGCCTACAGAAAGCAGCACACTGAATCCAGGCTAAATCCAACTGTGTGATTCAGGCTCCTGCTATATGACTGAAGCTGCAGGGGGAAGAAACATATTTGCCACTCTACTTACACGTTTGGAGCAAAAGCCAAAGTTAGCAAAGACCTAGTCAGCAGTCTGTGGGTCTAGGGCTTCAAGAATTTGCCAGTTCAGAAACATTCTGAAGTCATCCCTACCGTGGACGGGAGGAGGGGGGAGCGATGTGTATGACAGGGTCTCTATTCAATGGTGAGATCATCATCATATTATTGCTTTCTAAAATGCAGCTTACTAATCTGCCACTTACGTGGTTCTAGCACCCAAATCAACGCGGTGTAAATGTTTGCTCAATCAATGATCTTTAGACCCACTCTACCACTGAGTGGAGGCGTGTCTAAAGACCCGGCGGAATAGAAAGAGGATAAAAGCCTTGTCACAGAGGCCCGTCGCCTAAGAAGCCTGTGGACACTAGGTTAAAAAACTGACGTCCCCCAACTGAGTTGTCTGACCCATAAATAAGTGAAGAAAAACCCTGAGACAGCGGCTAAGGTCGCAGCAGCAAGGCCCGACGGGAATCTAAGTCCCAATCTAGGTCGCCAGGCCCGGGGGGGCGCTCCGTGGGTTTCTGGAACACGGGACTAGGAAACCAAAGCACTCTGCAAGGTTCGCTTTCCGGATCCCGTGGAGACCGGAGACCGAGGCCACACGTTCAGCCCAAAGACTGATGCCCAGCCGAAAAACCACCACCGGGACCCGAGAGGGCCTCTGCGTCCCGCGTCCTCCCTCACCCGCCGCCACCGCCCCGGAGGTCAGAGGCCGGCCTAGGTCTCCCGCGGCCGGGGACCGGGCCTCCAGCGTCACCTCGCTGCCGGCAGTGCTGCACCTGGCAGTGCTGCCCGATGTCCAGCTCCGCCATCCTTCCAGAGCCGCAAAGAGACGGGGCGGGGCCGCGATGAACGCGACACCTGCCGGGAGCGTGCTGGACCCACGGTGGGAGCCTGTGGGAGGGGCCTGATGAAGGGGCGGGACTTTTGGGGCAGGATTCGAGGGGAGACCTTTGGGGGCGGAGCCTGTGGTGGGGGCGGGGCCTGAGGTGAAGCCTGCCGGAGGAGCTTGTGAGGGCGGGGCTTGGGCGGAGCGGAGTCTGCTAAAGGGGTGGGGCTTCCTGTGGGAACCTCGGGAGGGGGCGGGCGAGGACCGGAAGCCTGCCCAGGAGGTGGGAGTGCTGTCGGTCTGAGTTTGCAGGGCATATAAGAATAGGGCTGTGTCTGGCCGAGCTCTCTTGGAGCTGTTTGAGCTCCAGGGACTTAGAAAAACGCAGACCCTCTTTTGAAATGTGACCCCTCGGTTCTCTGTGCTGAACCATCACGATCCAGGAAAGACATCGTGAAGATGTCTTGTTTTTCTTAGTGACTAAAACCCCAGGAGCCACCCAGACCTGGCACAATGTATACCAGGAATCACATGGCAAACCTGGATCCTGGTTGTCAGTTCCCTATGCACCCTACACCATCGTCTTGACGATTCAGTTTGAAGCAAATGCTTTTTCAGTGGAGGCGTTAGGCTCTTTTTAAATGGAAAGGTTTCTTTTTCTTGTCTTTTTCTCCCCAATTTTGCTTAAGAAGAAATATATAACTAAAGCACATAGGGCGCCTCGGTTTGGAGAACACATACTCATTTCACACTGCCCAAAGCAGTTTCCGGAAAACCCGGATAAAGGGAACTGTTTGATGCCTAATGAACCACTTCACAGGTACAAGGCTCTTGTAGGTGGAGTAAGAAAGGATGTCATTCCCATGACATCACACCAGACGCCACTCAGGATGAGTGACAGTCAACTGCACTCAGGACAGGAACCAGAAAAGTATCCACTACCTCCTCTGTGACTTAGGAGATTCCTCAAACAATATTCACCAAGGAAGGGAAGTGGATAGGATTAGGAAGCAGGAATTATTTCGAGTTATTATTTCAATAACTAAAAATTTTGCCTCAGAATTGCTTGAGTTTCTGGAGAAACTTGAGTTTTTGTTGTACTTTTTGGTTTTTAAAAATTAATCTGTAAAGTAATGAGTTTCATTTCTGCGTTTTCACACCTCATTTTTATTGATCCCCCTCCATTCTCAGCTTCAGCTCTGGTCCCCTTCTCTCCCTTCTGCGGCTTTCATGTCACATGTATTCATTTACCCACTTTGTTTCCCCTCTCCAATCCTCTCTTAAAACCTCTTTTTCTCCTCTCATGGACCCCTGTCTAGCTTCATGACCTATCCCCACCCTCAACAAGCATACACATATAAAAATGAAAAATTAGGCTCTCCCTAGGAGAGAACATGTGACACTTGTCTTTCTTGCATCTGGGTTATTTCCCTTGATATAGTAATTGCCAGTTACATTCACTTTCCTGCAAATGCCATAATTTAATCTTTCTTTCTGGCTGAATAAAATGTCATTTAGATATGTACCATGTTTTCTTTATCTGTTGATGGACATCTGGACTTGTTCATTTCCTAGCAATTGTGAATACTGAAGCAATAAGCATAGCTGTAAAAATCCTTTGAGGATATGCCCAGGAGTCATATAGCTGGATCATACCACAGTCACAGTTCATTTTTTTTGAGAAGCCTCCATAATGATTTCCATATCAATTGAAATTAGACCAAATACTTTAATATGAAATCTAAAACACTCAAATTGCTAGAGGAAAACATAAGGAAAAACAGTTTCTGAGAAGGACTTCAACAGCACAGAAAATATAATTCCAATAGTTGATAGAAGGGAGCACATTAAATGAAAAACATCTGCACAGCAAAGGAAGCCATCAGCAAAGTGAAGAGACAGCCTTACAGGATAAGAATAAACCTTTGCCACCTTCATTTCAGACAGAGGTTTAATATCTAGAACATGCAAATAACTGCAAAAATTAATCATTAAAAAAGCCTTCCAATTAATAAATGGGCTAATGAGCCATTTCAGATCTAGAAGCAACCCTAAGATATCATCTAGCTTTCCCAACCTTCCTCACTGTTTTTAAGATGAAAAACTCTTCCAAATCCACCTATCTTCTCCCAACTCTGGGGTGACAGGTGTATGCTGCCACACTCTTTTTTCTTATGGGTTCTGGGGATCAGAACCCAGACCCTTATGATGGTACAGAAAATACTTTACCCATGGTGCCATCTCCCCAGCCCTCAAGACTCAACAGCTTACCTGAATTTTCATTAATGTTTATTTGAGCTGTTGGAGTCCACAATAGCATATTTCTAGGATTTTACTGTGCTTTAATGTCCTCAATAGGTAGAAAATATTAACTCAATCATAATGGAACTATTTTGTTTTTTTTTCAGTTTTAGATGTTCAGAATAGCATCTAAGTACTAGCTCTCCATCTCTGCTCTTTATGATTTCTCTTTTAGATACTATTTAAACATCTGTTTGTCCATAATTTTGTGTTTGATCCCTTCATTAATGACCTCCCTCATACAAATGAAATTCTCATGCTTATATCAGAGAATCCTCTGCCCATACACTGTGCCCTGACAACTTTTTCCCAAACATGAGGTCTCTGTTTCCTGTTGTTTGTACCTACTTTGTGTCATTGGACAGTGAAACATAAATCTGAAAGGAAAGCTCTCTTACCATACCATTCCCTCCCTAACACGAGCAACTAGGAACCTTGAATCCACTTCCACCTGCCTTTTCTTGCTTGTGCCAAGGAAATGACCATTAAGCACCATTGATTTAGCCATAGAAAATACTGCTTCCATGTATCTGAATTATTTTCTCCTGCAAAAACCCACTTCTGTGGCCAAGATCTCCCCTCGGTTCCCCATTAGTCACAGATTTCTTTCATTTTTCCAGTATAAGTTTTCTCAGTGTATCCTCAATTCTTCTATCCAGCCTGAGCGATAACCATTTTTGCAAGATTGCCCTGCTGCCTGACTGCTTCCTGACCAGGACTTCAAGCTCTCTAACATGTCCGTTTTGCACATGCCTTTCCTTCTTCCTACAATGTTTTCTAGATTCAGGTTTCCCAAATTTCCTTAAAGCTCGAGTCAAGTGGCATGCTTGTGACAACACAGCTGCCAAGGTCCTCCCTGGATCTGATTATGAGGGTGGCAGGGGTTAGGGTGGGGTACTGGGAAGTCCTATTTTTGTCAAATGTCCACACATTGATCCTTATCAAGTAAGTTTAGGAAACCCTCTTCTCTCTCACCCACCTTCAGTATATAATTCAGTCACTCCTTCATCTTGCAAGGCTTTTGGAAGGCACAGGCACAGTTTGGTCCTCTGGGACCTCAGATACCTGTTCTAGTAGCCCTTGCTTACTTACTTATTAGCACTAACCAGCCTAAGTATAACTTACCTGACTCCCTTTTCCATCTCCTGCCCCTACCCCATTCTGTTAGCTACAAAATAAAATCTATAATCAGATGAATTTAGCAAATGTTTTGTACATCTCCTAAATATCAGATATTATTTCTTTTCTGATACAGGGTTAAAATGCTATGTGGTTCCTGACCTCATGGAACTTGAGAAGTCAAAGATGTATGTCTTTGCTTGACATTTAAAAATCTTTTAAAACTTGGCACGACCTGCCTTTTCCTTAGTCTCTGTCTCCCAAAGGCCTCTTCACACTCTGCTCCTTATAACCTCAAGCCCTTTGCACATGCTGTTTCCTTTACTAGGAAGGGTCTTCCTTCTGTTATGAACTAAACCATTTCTGTGTTTCTGCTGTTTCTTCAAGGATCTTTTGGTTTGGAAACCTTTTGTTGCTATTGTTTGTTTGATTTCCTTTACTAGACCATGCCTTGTTGCTATTATATTCATTTTGCATCTTTTCCAAGGTGTTTGTCCCAGACTTGATTTTCCATTTGTCAATGTGATTATCAATTGGTTATAGTCTCTCTAAGCCATAAGCTTCCAGAAGACAGTATGGCTCCTTTACTGTCCATTGTATTGAGTCCAATTTTTTCAGATGTTAATAAAGTTTATTGAATCTGTCACTGAAAAAATACCCCTATTTTTAATTCTTTTATGTTCAACTGAGTTATTATACCTGCTCCCACCTTCCTTTCCTTTGTGTCTTTGCTTTATCCCTCTGCTTTGTAATGTCTTTTCACACATCTTTACAACCAAATTCTACCCATCCTTGAGTTATAAATATCATTTCTGCAAGGCTTCTCTTCATTCCTCTACTATAAAGACAGTCACTCTTTAATATGGACTCGTTGAATTATTTATCTAAATGTTGAAAAAGCTCAGTTGTTGGCAACTTTTATTAAGTTATTCCTATGCATGTCTTCTTACTCTAGGCAGGCTATTGGTTATAGTCCGGTAGTTGAATTGACATTACTCATTATCCTATTTTTTCAATTTATAATGGTGCATTAGCTCTCATAATAAACATTTGATATCAACCATGAAATTTAGATTTTTCACATCATACCCCTGAGGACAGACTCATTGTTCTCAGGTTTTAGGACAGAAGAAAGATTACAGCTTAATCACCTGAAAGAGTCATGTTGTCATTAGAGTCATGTTGCCATGTACTGGCAGGACTGTGGACAGAGGAGAGGCATGAAGAACACACAGAGTGGCGCTATTAGTTGCAGAGCAAACTCACAAATCATGGTACAGTTAACAGTGGCATCCTTGCCAGTGAAAATCAGTTAACTATAGTCACACATGAAAGTTTTTGTGAAACAAAAATGCAATATGGTGTGGAAGAATGAAAGCCGAAGCATATGCTATGTCATTTCACTTATGTAAAGTTCAAAGAGGCAGCAGGACATTGTTTAGGGTCTGGTGCTTAGTGTTGTGCCTATAAGAAAGATTAGGAAAACAATTACTGCTAACACAGAAGAGTGAATCCCTGTGGTGGTAAAGAAGGGGGTTTGATGGCATACATGAGGTGGTAGTAGAGGTTCTGCGATGCCCTCTTCTGGTTTCATTGATATTCTCTGCACAGCTGTTTGTTAACCTGGCTCTGCTATGTTTATGTACTTTTCTATA